AGGCAATTAGATTATAATCGATTTAGACGTAATTTATTGAAGTGGCTTTTAGAAAAACAATTTTATTCGGTAAATGAAATAAAAATAAAAATAAAAGAACGTTTCTATTGACTGTAAAACGCTGTTTCTTATCTGATTGTGTTTTAAAGAATTAATATTAAAATTGTAAAGTGATGCATGTTTAATTTTACTTAAATTTTGTATATTCTAACCATAAGTTAATCAGTAAATAAGTTTTCATATACCAAAATTGGTGAAATATGTGAATCATTATTATTTTACAAGAACGTCTTTGTACCATACTTCTTGTGAATAAATTTATTTAAAATGTATTTATTTATCATTACAGCCCTTCACAAGTCCACTGCTGAACATAGGCCTCCCCCAAGTTATGCCACAAGGCACGGTCCTGAGCCACCTACATCCACCGACTTCCTGCATGTCTTACCAGGTCGTCACTCCATCAAGTGGGGGGATGCCCTACACTTCGCCTGCTGGTACGAGGCTGCCATTCGAGAACCTTCCTTCCCCACCGGTTATCGGTTCTTCGAGCTATATGGCCGGTCCATTGCCACTTCAGGTTACTAATCCGTTGGGTTTTGTCGGTAACTCTGGTTTTACTGCGGATATGCTCATTTCTGAGTCTATCACGCAGAAAAACTCCGAGCATAGCCCTCTCCATAGCTCGCTGAGCGACTTTGAGATTCCTCATACGGCCAGCAGTGAAGGCCCACGTCTCAGATCCATAGGTCATCACTGGCGAAACGCACTGGTTGCACAATCGAGTTTTGAGATTTTGAGTTATGCCTGACGAGAAGATGTGTCGCAATCTTCCAAACGCTGCCAAGCCGAGTTGAATCCGTCGATTGAACGCCCGGTCGAAGTTGGACTCACCTAGTCGGACTACTTGTCCCTTTATTTTGTATATGTTCATCTTAAGACCTATCCGTTGGGAGACACTATTGAGGTCATTCAGCATAGTGCTTAAATCCTCCAGCAATTCTGCCATAAGGACTATATCGTCGGCAAATCGAAGGTGAGTGATGTACTCGCCATTGACGTTAATACTGTATCGTTTCCAGTCCAGTAGCTTGAAAACGTCTTCCAATGCAGCGATGAATAGTTTCGGGGATGGGGTAGCCATCGTAGTCCTTCTGTACAAATATTTCAGCACTTCGATATACCGACAGTCAACTTGGCACCGCTGAAGGGACTGTAGCACCGCCCAAATTTCGACGGAATCAAAGGCTTCCTCATAGTCCACATACGCAAGACAAAGTGGCAGATTAGTACTTTTCGGGCTTCTGTGCAATCTGCCGCAGGGTATATATATGGTCTATGGTACTGAAGCCCTTTCGGAAAACGGCTTGTTCGGGAGGCTGGAAGTCGTCGAGTCTGCTTGCGAGACGATTCGTAATTACTCTCGAAAACAGCACGTAGAAGCGGCTCAGAAGGGAAATCGGTCTGTAGTTCTTCAAGAGAGCGTTGTCACCTTTCGAAGAACAAGACCACCGCACCTCTGCTCAACGCCTCCGGAGTAGTGCCACCATAGAGGACGGAATTGAAGAGCTTCTGAAGGACTTTATGTATCGGTTTTCCACTCGCTTTCAGAAGCTCCGCTGTAATTCCATCCTCGTTTTTAAGTTGCTGGAGAGCCATTCTGATTTCGCTCAAAGTGACATCCAGGATATCATAGAAATATTGTCTGATAAGACTTGCTCTTGCATCGTTACTCACACTTGCGTGTGAATCCAACGATGACGTGTACAGCTGCCCATAGAACCTTTCAATCTCACTCAGAATCTCAGGTGTCCCGGAAACGATTTAGTCTTCAGCTTCGACAGTTAGCTCTTTCTGACAGATAGATCTCTGGCAAAGACTTTGGAGCCCTGGTTCCGCTCAATCGCTTTTTCAATACGAACGGTATTAAAGTTGCGTTAGTCCCGCCGCATGCATTTGAAGATCTGTCTGTTCAGTTGCCTGGGTGCTTTCAAATCTGCTGACGACTGCAGCTTCATCTTCCGTCTAACAGCCATGAGATTAAGAGTGTGATCGGAGAGTTTTTGTGTTCTTTTGCAAAGGGTCCTACAGAACTTAGCTCCGACCGCATGGACAGTTTCCACAAGCTTGTCATTTATATCGCGTCCACTTCATTGCAGTTTTCTAGGCACTGAAAACGATTTTGTATCCCGAGCTGAAAGTTTTCGGGGCTTTGGATTAGAGCACGAGGGAGACGGAGTGTTGACTTCATTAGACGTGACCTCTCCAACTTCACGTTTAGGTTCAGTGTGCCTCTCACCATTCGGTGATCGCTGCCAGTTTTCACCCTTAAGATCACTGAGACATCTGTGAACAGTTGTCGTTTGGTTGTCATAATGAAATCAATGTTATTTTTTGTCGAACCGTCGGGGCTCGTCCACGTTCACTTATTGTGGGGCCGCTTTTGGAAGAAAGATTTCATCACAAAGAGTCCCTCTTTCTTCATAAAGTCGGCCAGCTACTGGTCCTAAGGTTTCGTTGCCCTATTCCGAATCCCCCCTTCGGCTCACCGTTCTCTCTTGTGCCTAATTTTGCGTTGAAGTCTCCCATTAACACCGTATAGTGGGTTTCGGAGGAATGTATGGCTCTAGAGATATCCTCATACATTTCTTCTACCTCCTAATAGGAGTGTGCTGAAGTTGGTGCGTAAACCTGTATGATCTTCAACAAATACCGTTTGGTGATTCTGAGTATAAGAAACACAACCTTCATCGACACACTCCCAATCTTTACAACGTTGTTAACGAGAGACTAGTGGACGATAAAAACGACATCACCTTGTGACAGATGGGCGTCCTCCCAGTGATAGAACAAGTTGCTATCGAAGGTTACCGTGTCCTCCCCCTCTCTTCGGACCTCAGATAACCCTATAATACCCCAGCGCAACTTGTCTATCTCTTTTTCCAACTCCAGGATCTTCTCGTTAGTCCTTAGGGTGCATACGTTGTATGTTGTCAGATCAAGTCGTTTTAGGTGGTAACCGAACCCCCACCAGAGATTCTTAGCACCCCCTACCCTGCCGTTACTATGGTCGCCACCATAGCCAGGAATAGCGGGGCCGCCGGGAACTGGAGGCCGTTTCATCGTAACTAACATGGGGGGGGGGTATTGCCAGAGTTGCCACGCTTGGCGAGCGGGTTTGCAACCGCAGTTTTTTTTGTACGGTTGCTGCTATCAGGAAGATGCTGCTGCCCATCAACTGCCTGTTTCCCTCTGTCGCATTTTACGACACCCACGGGAAGATATGGGATAGTGGGTGGCCACTACACGGGAATTTGATGGTATGCGTAAATGCAATGAACACGAAAAGAAATGCTGTAGTGTGCGTATATAGTGAAGCGATTCGATTTTGCAGTCGTAGTGAAGAATACAGTAGGTAGTGTGTTTTCCTCGCCTTACACTGAAAGTGACAGACTTTTTGTTTAGGAATTAACGCGCATGGTCTCTCCAGTTGGATGAATACTCAAAGTTCCATGGTAATTACTCTCAAAATCTATGGTTAAGTATTTTTTTTATTAACTGGCTTTACGGCTCTGGGTTCTAGCCTTTCTGAGCCTAGCATATCTTTCGGAATCTTCATTTTTATATTCTTTTTCTTCACTATATGCTGATGCGTCACATTGCGAAGACCTTGGGAGATTTCGACGACAGCTCAAACCAGCGGACAGTTGATCACGACAGCCACTCAAGTTCATAAGGCGCCTAAGCGATCAAAGTAACTTGAGGTTTATATTCACATCAAAGCACTTGTTTCGTCGTTTTCTCTAATAGTTTACTCGCGCGGACACTTAATTCACAAAATCGACTTCAAATCATTATTCAAGCGACAAAACAGAAGCGATAATCCGTCTACGGCCAAATTCCCGCCAAAACTCTCCTATGGTTAAGTAAGTTGTAAACGAAAGCACAGAATAAATAAAAGACGGAAGAGTGAAAAAAATATTTAACTTTTAATTTTGTATCTGTTGTTTAAGAACTTATTTTGATAAATTCTTTAAAAAGTCGTTTTATGACTTTCTAACATTTTGTATGATATTCTTCAGGCTTAGAATGCGTATTTTAATATTAAATTTATAATTTTGTAAAATGTTTACATTCTACATTATAGAAATTTTGATAATTTTTTTTTGTAGATGGCGCTGAGTCGCTTAATTTATGTTGCGGTCTTTCATCCGACATTCGACAAGTAAGATGGCGGCGATTAATGTGAAAGGCGAAACGTTGTCTTATTTGTACTTGTAAATAAAGAAACAGCTTTTTTCAAACGTTGTAGCATTATAACAAAAGGAGGGAAATATTCTTAAAGTTTACAATATATTGCAAAGTACTGTGTTCTTATAACGTGACATAAGTGGCTTTTTATTTCACAATAGACAAAACCCGTCGCAACGAATACTCGAGGAGTCGAGGCCATATTTATGATGTTATCTGTCGTGTGAGCGTCCTCAGAAACCACATTGACTAATGCTTTTTTGATGCTACGGCAATGGTATGTTCCTCATCCTAAATGTTCATTTGGTTCTAAATATTCATTTAAAATAAGTTCTTAGGTATTGTTCAAACACATTGACGCTTCCATCTCTAAGGCGCCGTATTATTTTTATTATTTTAATACAGTGTTTTTATGTGATGGTATTATTTATCGGTAAACTTAAGTTTAAATTTTGTATTGCTTATAAGTACCTTATAAAATGTTATACCTATACCATTTTTAGAAAAGACATCTAATCCGACATTTAGTTTTCCTAACAGCATCAACATGATTTTGATGTGTTTATTTGTTTTTTTTTCAGGGGTGGTTAGTGTATACGAGGATTATTTAAATCATGATTACCTCTTGTGCTCAAATGAGTTGGTAGTAAACATATTGTTAATGTGTTACACAAATTATGGATGAAAGTGTGGACTTCAATTGACAAATTACGTACATTGACACTTTACCAAACAACACGGAGGTGGTAATGGATCCAGTAGGACCATGGTCAGCATATGCTTCTTACAATCGGCTAGCAGGGGTTCAGGCTGGTGCTGCAAGTGGAGATTTTCATCACCATCTAGCAAGTGGTGGTTCTGGTATTGGCAGCCAGTCTGTTCCATCAACTACAAGCCAATTGTTGCTTCAGGCGGCTCACACAACAGCATCGTTAGCTGGACAACTTGGTTCATCAACTGCTTCACCCTTTAACCCTGGTGGATTTTTATCACCACCCACTGTTGGGTATGATGCAGTATTTTCACCTTTGTTTCATCATGCAAGTCCAAAACCTGCACATTACAGTTCTTCTCTTCAGGCACAACATCGGCAAGTAATTGCGCAAGCTCAAGCTGTAGTTGCATCCAAACAGTCATCAGTGGAAACTGAACTTTCTTCTTTAAGAGAAAATTACTCTCATCAAACATTAGCACAAGGAACTACATTTTTTGACCAATCATCAACCCCTGGCAGCACAACTGGGTTAAGTTGGCAAGGAAATAATCAACTCCCAAGTCCATTTGGGATTTTACCTCATGAAAGTGTTGTGCCCTCATCACCAAGCCCAGCTACGACAAAAGCTTCAGTAGCCTATGAAAATTTTAATGCTCATTTTGCTGCTGCACAGTCACTTAACAATCACCTTAATTCACAACTTTCCAGTGCTGGTAAACAAACAAATAGGTCAGGTTCGCCTGCTACTGCATCTAAACAACCTGTGTCTTCAACTTCATCAACATTTTTTCAATCTCCTCCTGCATTTGGAAATCAGACGGATAATTCATACAGTGCAAGTGGTGCAAAGAGTGGTCAACTTTCATCTCAACAGGATTATGCTGGAAGTAAGTCATATTCAAGTTCTGCAAGTTCAAATGTTCATTCTCAACAATCATGTATTGTGTCAACTCCATCAGTAACCTCATCCTCTACACCACCCAGTAAAGAATACTGCACATCGTCTAGTGATTCTACTAGGCCTTCGGTTTCCATATATAATTCCCATTCCCCTAAAAATACTAGTAGTGAAAAGTCATCCAGAACTACTCACAATACAAGTAGCAGTTTTGTATCACCAACATCTAAACCACCTCAAGTGCAAACTAAGGCACAAAGTAAAATATATCCTGAGCTAGGTAATGAACAGAGAAAAAGCTGTGATTCTAATGAAAAAATTCAGCCACAGTCATCCCCTATAAGTTATTCTATTATGGATGCACCAGGAAGATTAAGTTACAGTAATAGTACTAATTCATCCACAAAATCTAATAGAATGAATAACTCTTCATATTCTTCCACTCAAAATTCTAGTTTTAGACATTATCAAAGTGGTAATAATGTAGAATCTGATTATCATGTTCGTGCTAAAAGCAGTTCAAGCACAGACACAGGTTATTCAAGTAGTAGTTCACAAAATGGTCCCGATTGTGGTGTTGTTATAGGTAGACGACAGAGTCCATTACAGTCAGTGCCACAAACATCACCCCTAGGTCATGGATCTAGTCCTGCTTATCCATTGTACCATAGTCCAATGAATTCAATAAATTCTCCACAACAACATGGTGATCATTATAGTAAGATTAATAATTCAGCTCCGCGGTCTCCTCTAGATGCATCTGTATCAAGATCTCCATCTCAAAATAGTCAAGTGGCATATCCCTCTGTCATTACTAGGGCCTTAGGGATAGAACACAGTAAAAACTTTAATGAAAATAAATATGAAAGAAATCATAGTCAGGCATCAAATCAACCCTGTTGGGAAGCTGATCGCCAATTAAGTAGGAAATACAATAGTAATGGTAGTAATAGTAATTATAACTTACCTGAAAGTAATACTCATAGTGAGAAACCTTCTCAACCATCTCAAAATACAGCTGACAGGTTAACTGTAAATGATAAACATCACTATTTTGATGGAAACAATGTAGCCTTACAAGATTTGTCCAGTTGTCGAGGTGATCCCATGAGTATTGTTAAAAATTTGCAAACCTTACAACAGAGTTGTCAGTTACAAGATGTTAAATCAAGTAAAAGTCAACCCCCAACCTCAAATATTTCACCACTGAACAAATCAGTTCTAAGAAGAAAAAGTACTGAAAAACCTGTGCCTCATGCAAATATGAATGAAATATCTAATGTAGTAATGGCAGATTATTTAGCTAATAGAATACCACCACCTGCTCATAGTTCAACAAATAATCAGCAACAAAATGGTAGCTATTTTGATTTCGAAAGGTGGAATCTTCCACCTCCTCCACCTAAAATGTTTCCTGGCACTACACCCTTTGGTTCTCAAGCTCCCCTTCATGCAACAAATTTTGCTAATCAACATCAAGCTCTAGCCATGCAGCATGGACATGCATTAACCTATTTCCCACCCTTTCACCTGGGTCCCCATCCAGATTTTCAATCATCTGTGGAGTTAACACCTTTGTCATCATTTAGTGAAACACCACCTTCGGCTTCCTCGTCATCTTTTTCCACACCAGAAACTCGTGAGGAGGAACAGCCCAAGGTGGTAGTACCTAATATAGAGGAAGAACTTGGTTTCCTTGCAGAACAACGAGCTAATACTGCATCATCGGTAGCACCCTCTTCTCAGCAGCAGAATTTAAACAGTGCTTCCCAAGACGCTGCTACAAAAACTATGGAAAAAAAATTCAATGTTCCGGTCACGGGCCCCGGTTCAGGTTTCATGGCTTCTTATTTGAAATTTTTACAAGGGGAACGTGATACGTCTCCTCCGCCGGCCGGTAGAGGCGCCAGAAAGTCGACTTGGTCTAGGACTAACACAAATAGCAATACAAACAATACGAAACCATTTACTCCAAATGAACACAATAAGAGCCAATGTGAATCAAATACTCCTCAACAAAGTGCAAATGGTGCGATGGCGCCGACAAATGCAATTAGCACTGGAATGTCTCTAAGTAATCCAGTTATGAGTTCATCAGTTAATATAAGCACAGCTAGTTTATTAGGAGCTAATCAGATACATGGTTCACCATCAAATATATTAAGTACACAAGGGAAGACTGAGATGGATGATCGTTATTATAACATGAACAAAGACAGAAAAAGAAAGTATGATGGTACGGAGGAAAGTGCTTATGATGCGGAGGAGGAAGCAAGAAGGTTGAATAAGCCTGTGCTCAATGTGCCTAGTACACCATTGAATGATAAAGGGAAGAAGGGACGAACGACGATGAACAAACCGACGCCGTCGGCTGTAGTGGCGCCTCAGCCGGCCGCGCCTAAGAAGCCACGAGCGCCTGCTCCGCCGCCCGTGGCTGCGCTTCAAGCAGCGCCACAGCAACAATACTATTACCAACACCAGCCCGAGGAAGGTGCGTTCAATTTATTAGATTTCCACTTGAGAAGTAGAGCGCGATGGTGAAGAGCTAGCCCTGAAGCTTGTATGACAGGAGCAAGCTAACTGCCACTTGGGCAGGTTGCCGTGAAAACTTGTTACATTTTAACTGTGATATTGTAAATTTTTATTAGATGAAATCTATTATAGTTCACTTGTATATAACTTCTATTAAAGAAATGTGATGTACCTATCTATTAGAGATCAATATTTTAGGGTTAGCCTGTAACAAGATTTCACTTAATTTGTTGTTAATGACACATTATTAGTGCCATTTTATTGTAAATTGTAGAAATAGTGACTCTTGTCATACTCGCTACTGAAGGGGTGCTACCATTTATAATTCCAAAATTGTGGTATATTTTTTTATGGAAACAATACCAGTGTCTGTTGTACATATAAAATAATGTATTGTATTTACAGTATTTGAATTTAGTTAGTACTTACACAGTAATGTAATTCATATATTTTGCTGTAGCTAAAAGTGATTTTATAATATAAGGAAAAGAATTGCATAATACATTGACAGCTATAACTTAGTGTGATAATGTATTAGAAGGCCATGCCCTGAACATAAGTTTTGTATTTCTATTTAATTGTTATTTGTTTATGCACAATTCTCAATATTTTATGTAAATACTTTTGTATTATATGCGAAAACATAAAATAAACGCGAGTATATTACTGATAATGTGTTAAATATTTTTAATTTGTAATTATTCCTGGTAGCACCCCTCACTACGCCAAAATAGGGATAACATGTGCAATAAATGATTTTGTACAAATATGTTGTGAATTTGAAATATTGTAAATTTATTTGACACTTATTATCCGTAATAAGGTATGTGTACATGTTATCACAGTGATGATGTATGTCATCATTTGGCTTTCCTTTTCCTTACCTTTCCAGCATATCAATTCAATTTTCTAACATTTTATTTAGATATTGAATTTAAACAACTGCAACCCATTTTTTCATTGCATCAGAGGTAATTATGTTTTTGTTTCTCCTGTTATCAAAATATATTAAGTCTAGCATACTTACCACCTAAAAATTAATCATGAATTTTTAGTTCCTGCACATGGAGCTGCATTGGAATATGCAAATTATACTGCTACTGACAATGATGCAAACAGAAAATTACATCATATTAAGTCACACCCACAAGTTTCAAGTACAGGCCAAATTGATAACACAAGACCGATTGAGGAGATGCCTTATCAGGTAATATAACTTTAGTTCTTAATTTTTTCATTCTTATATTATAATTTTATAATTAATTGATGATTATGGTGAACCACACAAGCTTATGTATATAAGTATTTCATTTATTACCTTTGTCAGCGTTTTTAAAGTCCATGGCTAGATTGGCCTTTTCAAAACTTAGACCGTTTGTTGTTATTACTCGTAGCTTCAGATATGCATTTTTTAAATAAGCTGCCTTTTCCATTCTGAACTGGTGGTTGATTAGTGTAGAGCTGAGGTGTTCGTGCTGGTAATGCCAGTTCGATTACAGGTCTGTTGGGTGGTATTTTTTAAAGGATTTTCCACCATTCTCTTCCATATCCTTCATCGGACTGTATAAGTACACTGCCAGATATAGGATCTTTTTGCCTATATTTGGCAGTGGACCAGACCAGTGGACAGAATGTCTTAATATTCATACTCGGCAGGTGAATTGTTAATCGCAGAAACAAATGTCTCGCATCTTTGACGCTTCACCAGTCAGGATATTTTACGTCTGGCATAAGCCAGATGTAAAATATATCTGATGTACATATACTGGCATCTATCGGAAATCATAAGGCACTTTTGCTTTTCCGATTAGAACATTAAAATATATAAAATTTTCTGATTCATTATTGTTTGCAGTCTGGTGAATTTGTGGCCATTAAAACTGATCTTAATGAAATGTGGCCTGCTATATGGCGTGTGGATGGAAAAACACTGCTGCAGAAATACGAACCATTTGAAGAAAATGGAAAAGTTTTATATCGGAATATATCTACGGTAAGTATTAAGTTTGTTAAATATTTGTTTGTCATCAAGTTTTATTTTAAATATTTACCTTATTTCGGCTGATGCTTTTGTGCAAACCATCTTGTTAAGTGACGTTTTCGCTGTGTGAAGTATTAGCCTTAATTGACAAACTTGGCAGGCAGATTGACGATCGCAGTAGCATACGTTTCGCACACATTTTACGTCTGGCGTAAACGAGAATGTTCGGAGTAATGGTCCATTTATCAGGTGCTATAAAATTTTCTGGCATTCCCCATAGTTACCTTTTACAACATCTGCGAGATGTAAGGGATGGATTTTTTTACGCCGTGTCGCCACCACACGGCACTCTTTTGATAATGTAGGCGATAGTACGTCAAAATTCTCAAGGTTATTTAAGGGGAAATATAACCTCAAATGGCTTAGCAAGATCCTCCGTTATGCCGAAAATATTGCAGCATTAATTTTGAAATAAATATATGGTAAAGTTGAAGATTAATGTTAAGGACTATATTAGACGAAAATACGATTCTGTGAAATTTTCTCGATAGAAAAAAAATCTAAAATTACCTCCAAAATAAACAATAAACCGCTGTTATTCATAAAATACTTTAAATAAGATCATGAAACTTTGCATATTAACTGAACTAACTATAAAGCAGTGCTTATGTTATTTACTTTTTTTTAAATACTTACCATTATTTTCACTGTAAAAAAGAAATTACCTAAACTATCGGCTTCTTGAAGCTTGATTCCTGCCGCCCGGTCAGTTTCGCTTCGGCCTTTGAAGGGGGAGGTTGTGTCGCTTACGATCAGAATACACATTACGCAACAGGACGACGTAAAATTAAAATGGGAAGTAACCGTAATAAAAATAAGAAGTGACTGGGTTTGCGTTAAGAAACAGGCATAAATATGATAAACCTAAGTATCTAACGACCTATCTACTTACAGTATTAGTGATTACAAACATGTCGGTACATAGCATACGACGCGCGGGGAAGTGGGGGCGAAATTAGAATTTGAGCTGACTTACTATATCCTCTTAAGTCACCCAATCTTCACCATTCTAATCTGATATTTACACTACCGTCCAAAAGTTTGGAAGCACATCTCTTTTCATACAAAACTAAACATCGTCCACAATATGCAGTCAAATTTAATACCTAATAAAATTACATATTGATGGTACATAGTGCATGTTATGTACATAAGTCTGATAAGATTTTTAAAGATGTTGGTGGAACTTTCTTGGTCTGTTTATGTTACTTGTTTGTGTGATTGCATATTCATTTATTCAGTCCTAATGAAAAATTTATTAGTTTTTTTTTTTAATTCATAAAGTCAAAAGTAGGCAGAGAACATATATTTTTTAAGTGCATAATTTTAAGTACCTAAGTGTTCGCAGTTCAATATAGCAGATTACTAATGTGTGTGCTTGTGCACTATTCATAATTTTACTGTCCGAATTTTTCAACTGTTACAATGCGTTAATGGTTAAATTTATTTATCTGTTAAAAGTTATTTGTAAATTTTTTAAACAGATAAAACTAACAGTAAAAAATATTCTGTAGTGAATATTTATTTTTAATCGGTTATCTTAATTTGATTGCATAAAATTTTATGCATGGAATTTTAATTCAATAAACATTTCTTCATACTTTAATAGATACGGGACTCTTTAGTATTAAAGTCTAATTAAGCTAGGCGTATTTAAAGGTTTATTAATTCAATATTTATAGTATATTATAATTTACAACAAATTGTTTTTTTATTTACAATGATTATTAGGTATTTAGTATTTACTAAATGTAAAAAAATTATAAAATTACAAGCTGTGTGTGACTCGGCTTAATAAAAGGTGAAAATTAAAGTAACTAAAATCTTATATTTTTGTACACTACACTAAATAATATATAAACTAATTTCAAAAATAAATCTTAATTAACTTGCCTAGTATTTATTTTTACATAACACATAACATAAACACTCACGCCTGTCACCCAGAGGGGTAGGCAGAGACTACAGACTTCCATTTGGCACGATCCTGACACACCTCTCTTGCCTCTTTCACATCCATACACCTATGCATACATGCTCGTTGGTTAAGGGTACTCCTAATTTGGCCCGTTTTCAATAAATCGCCAATTTGGTCGATAAATTTTCGCCTAGGACGTCCCTTTCAGACTCTGCCATTCACTTCTGCACCATAAATTTTCTTTGTCACTCTTTCCTCATTCATTCTTGCCACATGACCAAACCACCGAAGCATTCCTTTCTTAATCCTGGTCACAACATCATCTTGCAAACCACACTCTTCTCTTATTACACAATTTCTTACCCTGTCATTCAGATTCAGCCCTAACATACTCCTTAACGATCGCATTTCTACTGCGTTTATTCTACTCTCGTGCTTCTTCTGCCACACCCAACTTTCACTACCATACGTTAAAGTAGGGACCAACACAGCATTGTGAATTGCCATACGTGCCTTTTTCGACACATTTTGACTCTTCACAATAGAGTGCAAGACCCCATTTACTCTATTTCCCGCATTCACTCGTCGTTCTATATTCTTATCATATCTTTCATCCCTGCTAAATACGCAGCCCAAATATACAAACTCATCTACTTGCTCGATCAACTCCCCTTCTATTCTTATTTCACAAATCGTTTTACTTTCTTCTCTTTCAAAAACCATAACCTTCGTCTTACTTGCGTTCACTTTCATACCCCTTTCTTATATTTTTACATCTTTTTATATATTCTTTAATATATAGATATGCCAAATCCCTTGTAATATTTTGATGAAAAAGTAAACTCTGAATCAAATAATATTAAATTGACGCGCTTCGTTTAAATTAATCCAACCAATATTCCAGCCAATAGCGTAACAACAAAATACGTAAAATTAATATCAACCACTAAGGTATTCAGCCAATAATGTTACCCATACGAGTTAAAAATATCATTTTGTACGGTTTAATAAAAATAACACTTCAAAAGATATGAGATATAAGTTTAATTTTATAGTAAATAATTGTTACAATCCTTTTTTAATGTGAAGCCTATATTTTAATGTAATAAATCAAAAGAATACATGTAATGACGTTTTTAAAGAATATTTCCTTTAGTCCTTCAGCATATAAAATTTTAATAGTGCCATCTACTTCATTCTATAGGTGAAGTCATTTTATCGAACGAAAATTGATTGACATTCAAGGTGGTACGTAAATAATACGCTAGATGGCACAAACCACAGATAACTATATAGTATATACTAGTCAGAGAAGCATAAACACGGCTATCGGCTAATTTAATATTAATCAGTAAGGTAAGAAATCGATCGAGGGTTGTTTTGAATGGACTGGATTATTCATTATGTATAATTACCGAATTAAAGATGGTTAATATATCTTTTAACTGCTAAGATGAACAGTTAAAAAATCACAAATTAAAACCATCTTTAATTACCGAATTATTCGATTCGATTTGACCGTATCGCCCTCGCCGAATCTGATGACGTCATCCCAATTCATCTAGAATTTCTTATGACGGATGTACACGCTCGTCGAGACACCACGAGACAGGCTGAGTACGAGTGTGTACATGGTGCTCTCGTCGCGTCGCTGCGCGTCTCGCGGCCTTCGTTTGCTCTCTAAGCCTATCGGTTTTTTGCGCTCGAGTCAAGGATTCTCGTCGTGAGTCTCATGGCGGCTGTACACGCTCATCGAGACACCACAGGCCGAGTACGAGTGTGTACATGGTGCTCTCGTCGCGTCGCGTTTCGTGGCCCTCGTGTGCTCTCGGAAGCGTGCCTCGTGAGTCTCGCGATGAAAATGAGAGCGTACTCTATTCTGTTAAATGTACATGGTTCTGTTACGGTAAATAGAAACCGTCCACCACCTTCTTCTTCGCCATGGCTTATTAATTTTCTTTTTATGTGTAAAAATTTATAACTAATAGCACAGGGGCAAAACGCAGCAACAGTTTCATCTAGGCCCATTTCAGTGGACATACCTAGTTCAAATGTTACAACGAGTGTATACATGGTGTGTTCTCGTGTCGAGTCTCTACGCGACAAGAGGCACGCGAGGCGACGAGACGAGAGTGTGCAGCCGCCATTAGGTTCTTCCAGATTCGAACGATTCGACGCAGGCAGGTGTACGCGGTTAGATATGATTTCATATAAAGATTCAAAAATGCTTTTCGTTCGGCGCGTATAGTATGACTGGACCTCTGACATGACATTACGGACAGTAAAATTACGTGCAGTATACAAGGCTTACCGTGTAGTGGTGGTGTAAGAATATCTACTATCCCCATATCATCCCGTGGGTGTCGTAAGAGGCGACAGAGGGAAACAAATCAGGAGATGGGCAGCAGTGTCTTCCTAATAACAACTAAAAATAAAAAAGCGTGGCAACTATGGCAAATATTCACCCTATGAGGCAATCTATGGAGGAGGCCTATGTTCGGCAGTGGACTTCAGATTGTATCGGTAACGGATACTATGCTTGACATTTTGTACGGAAAAATTACCCTGTAGTGCACAAGCACCTCGAGTACCTACAGGCAATTCACCTGATGAGCCATAGGCATCTACCAATATCTTCGATTAATAATCAAAATTCAGATACATTGTCATCCATGAATTAATGTACGATGTAGTTAGTGTTCAATTTAGTTTGTTGTTCTATACACTGAAGTAGTACAGTTGTAGTTATATACATATTTATAGTGTAATCGTTAGGTGCAAGATAAGAAATGTTACAATAAGTTACGCTAAGAGTGGTCGTTTGCCTTGATTGAAATGCACTTACTGTTTGTTACGTTAAAACTGAGCTCTACGCGCGCGGCCTAGTTCGCGACGCGATCGACTTAATCAACTACAGTCGTCAACACACCATACAAATGAAATACCTTTTCACCAATAAGAAGAAGCCTCTGGTTATCATCATCATTCATAATACGAAACTTTATAAAAAATATAATTTTCTTTTTTTCATTCTAGTATGCAGCATGGAATCCTGATAATAAAAAACTTTACACCCAGGTGCCTGTCAAAGTGCGCTCACAATCACATTTAGAGACAATAGTTGAATTAGTTAGGAGTGAGCTGCCACTTGACGATTGCAATTTCATAGAGAAAAGAATGTTAGAAACGCAAATGTATCAAGAAAATTTCGAAGTGTATATACAAACTTTAATATCACATGCCTTGGATCCCAATTTTCTCACAGAAATTTTCCAGGAACAAGGTGAGAAAAAATACTTTTTAATGTTAAATTAATTGATGGTATATAACATAAACTAAAAACAATTTATAGCAATGATCTCATAATAGATAAGTTAGTACATTATATATGGGATCTCTATGGAGTCGTGCTAAGAGGCTTATTTATAACCTTGATTTTGTTGAAACAAATATTGTCGACTTTGAGCTTTCACCTCTTGGTTGTCAATATTCCACACACTAGAACCAAACAGTTTGCTGTCTTTCGTAATGCAGAGTGGAAAACTTTGCCTACAATCAGACTCCCATTCATAGCTTTACTGTATAAACATTTCAGCTTTTAGTTATACCGATAGTCAACTTGGCACATCTGAACGGACTATGTAGCATTCTCCAAATTTCGAGAGAATCATATTTTCTCATAGTATGCAATATAAAGTGGCATATTGCAGAGAAGCTTCTCAGTCTATACAATTAGGTCTATGACACCAAAGCTCTTTCAGAAACCGGCTTGTTCGGGAGGCTGGATGTCGTAAAGTGAATGTGCTCTTTCCAGCACTGACAGATCTCTGACAAAGACTTTCGGTACTGGTACAAACTCTTCTTCAATACAAGCTGTATTGAAGTCCATAACTCTTGCTGAATGCCATTTGGGGATTTGTCTGTTCAGCTGCATGCATGCTGACATATAGGTCAGTTAACTAAAGCTGGCATGTTCACAGTACTCACACTTATGCAATTTCTCTATACAGTATGTTTAAAAATAAATGATTTTGGTTCTAAATGCGACTCTAGTCTAATGTAGATTAGAGTTAGGTTTTAATAAGATTAGGTGCGTTGTGGATAAATAAATAAAAAATATGTGTTGCTTGCTATAATATATTATAATTATTACATTATTGCTTTTAGTCAGAATCGTAAATTAAATCTTCTACCCCACTCAAACTTTCATCGCTCGAAGAACATGATGTTTCGCCGTCTGAATTTCCTAGTGTAATTATAGATGAATCAGTGAAATTATCCACTTTTAGTTCCAGTTGAATATATTTTTCCTCATGTCCTCGCGTTTTTCTCCAAACGTCACTAAACATATCAAGAGTAAGAGAATCTGCTTCTTTTCTAAATAATTCTTCCACAGTTTTTAAGTTAAACTTAACATTTTGTGATGCAACTTTCCCTTTAATTATACCCCACAGTAACTCTATTGGGTTGAGTTCTGGATGGTAGGGTGGTAGCCGCAATACACTGTGTCCGTGATCTTGGAGGATTTTATCAAGTACAAATTGTACATAGTTTGGCTTATTTTTTTTTAATAATATCATATAGCGTAGGTTTTGTGTTTCTTTCGGGATATTATATTATTATATTTGTCCAACCAAGCTAACATGTCACTTTTTCTTGAATTTGATGCAGGCACTGGATCCGATACGACGTTGTAGTACAATGCATTATCAACTACTAAAACTGACTGTGGTGGTAAATTTGGAGGAAGTTTTTCTTTAATCCATTTCATCCGTATATATTATAGGTCGGCCTTGTGATCTATATTCTTGCAGTTTCGAAAGATATAATGTTCTTTTGAGTCTAATGTGCCTTTTTTCAATAAGTAGTTTTTTATTATTTAGTATTTTATTCTATCTGAAACCTAACCTCCGAACGACCTTTCTTAATGAAGAAATGCCTCTCTCAAAGTTGATACTTTCTTTTAACACTTCTAATAACTTTTTTAATGTCGGGAATGTATGCTGAACCAGATGAAAGTTGTAGATAGTTCGCCTTATGACTTCTTGGTCAAAACTTTCTACTGAAGATTGTTTTGCTAACCTTGGTCGCTTTTTACCTGGTGTTCTAAAAGTAACTTGAGGTACCAATGTTTTGGATGCTGGTGGCTCTCCTCCTGAGGTAGACTGTTGTGATGTTGACGCTTTAACAGACTCTATAACTTGATTGCGTACTTCACAAACAACTCGTTGAACACTTCTCTGAGAAACACCAGTCGCATCTGATGTCAAACCTAACAAATCTTTCATTAAACGATCTCCACCATCACTTTTTTATTTTGATAATGCATGAAATAGTTAAAAATGTTGTACACTATTTCACGAGATTGTCCTGTTAAAGTTTTTCCGGAACCAATTCTTTCAGAAGACATTTTATTCTAAACTCCAAATATGTGAATAATTAAACGCGCTGCGTGTCGATCACACGTGACTGAAGCTAACGGTTGAATACCAAAAAGACCACGCTGTATTTATAAACAGTATCAAAAGCAAAACAATCACTGTCCCCTTCACACTCATAAGCTCGATCGCGCGAAAGAGAGACGGGCAGACTTTTCATGATGCGCATGCGGTTCGACGTCACGCCAAGGGCTTATTCACACACACTACACAAGCGCAACGTGTAAATGTGTTGTATGTGCCAGCTTTGTTTAACTGACCTATACCTGCTGAAGACTGCAGCTTAATTTCCTGTCTAATAATGTTTTGATTTTCTATGTTGATTTTAGTGACTCTTTTTACATTTGATTGCTGGTTTGGATACCCAAGACTAGTCTCAGTTTTGGATACACAACTTTTTTTTTACAAAACGTGTCAAATGAACTTACAGTTTCGCCTGATGGTAATTGGCTACTGCAGTCCATGGGCACTTGGAGTCAATTTTATACAAAGGAGTGCCTTGCAGTCTATAATGATTCTGGCTCTATAGAGGCTTGTGTTTCAGCCTGAAGAGCATAGAACCTCGAGGCTGGAACAGCACAGCAATGCAAGTACTGCTATTTAGCTGTAGAAATAGGTAAGAGGGTGGTACCGATACGGACTCCTAGGCTACTGTCTGCAGGAGTTTTACATGTGGTTAAGCCACTTTGCAGCTATATTATGGTTGTATATAGTATGAATGGGTCGTCTCGACCGTTAATGGACCACAATACGAGCGTAAAAACGCAGCTTAATGCTGTTATGTAGAGAACCAGAGCTCTTTATACTGGAAATGAGGCATTCCAATATAGTCCTGGGGGTCGCAACGCATCCACATCATGTTTATACTTAATCGAGGATAGATGTAAATGTCTATGGGCCACAACATTCACTTACCATTAGGTTTATTGTGGACCTTTATCACCCTTATTCTATAAAAAAAATTTAGGTTAAATGTTTGATTAGGTCTATCCAACTTTTTCTTCTTAATAGAAGATAAATGTAGATATCAAATGCATCTACTTACAATCAGGTGGACAGGGTTGCATGGGATGATTATCTTTATAATTATTTGATGATTGTCGTGATAATTGTGTGCTGATATAATTATTTGATAATAACGTTTATTCCTGTGTGTGATGTGCATCAATTTATTGGCGTTATGACAAATAATGTTGGTTTTTTTTTTAATTTTGTAATTGTTGATTGTATTAAACAAAGAGCATTTTTTGTTTTAAAATAAAAGAAATATAACTATTAAAATATTTTTATTACACATTATATTGCTGAATAATAACTGGATAATAATCATTATGTTGATAATTTGCAACTCTGCAGCTGCTTCGTGCTCGCACGTAGTAAAGTCGGTGTGTACTGTTCCAGACGAATACTTCTTATCGAACGTGAAAACCGTGGACGAGGTGACGGAGACGATGCGGGCGCGCGTGTCGGGGGGCGCGGCGGGCGCGGGCACGGCGGGCGCGCGCGCGCTGGACGCGGCGGCGGCCACGTGGCCCGGCCTCAGCGTGGCGGCGGGCGCGGGCGCCTGCCGCGCCTGCGCTCGCCCCGCCGTCGCGCGCCTGCTGCTCTACGGACAGCCCTACAACCCCGCCACCCTCGAGCCCGTGCAGCCCGACGCTCGCCTCGCATACGAGAAGGTAACTCGACACTGCGCACTCTTTACTTACACCCATATACGTTCCACTGCTGGACACAGGCCTCTCCTCATGTCTGAAAGGGCAAGGAAGTGCCCACTGCGCTGCTCCAATGCGTGTTGGCGAACTTCACATGTCTTTAATCAATATTTTTTTCTTATTCCTCAAATGTGCAGGTTTCCTCACCATCTAGCATGTAATAAATCAGAAATGCAAATTGCAATTAACAAATTCGGATCGAGCCTGGTTTTTTACATGCATACTGTTGCATTGCCTGAAATTTACAGCGAGCACTAACCATCTGAGCTCGAGCCTATCCGTACCCGATATCCGCCTACGAAATAGTCGTCAGGTCATACAAATATTATCCATTTTATTCATACATTACAACTACATCAGTTCTCTCTCTCTCCATCATAGATGCCTCATAAGGGGGATTTTGCCATAATTGACACGCGTGGCGAGCGGCTTGTCAACCCCAGTTTTTTTAATTATAGTTATCAGGAAGAAGCTACTGCTCATATTGATTTGTTTAACTCTGCCGCCTCTTACGACACACACGGGATAAACGGGATAAAGTTATATTTTACAACCTGTTAAAACTTTTTATAGAAGTTTTATAAGAATAGCAGTTTCCTGTTGTCAAATAAATTACTCATTTATTTTTTGTTGTATATGTTATAATAATTATAACATTGTTTTAATTTAAGTGACAAATTGCAATTATTATGTATAGCATTTTGTTTTATAAGGCGATGGGAGTATTCTGAGGTTGCAAATCTAAGGACTTTATTGCTATCCTCTGACTTGTATCATTTCCAACCATTGAAGAATTATAATTCAGTAATTTATCAGAAAAGTATGTATGATCATTTACGTGTAAAGTCCCTGCTGACCAATTTTTTTTTCTATTCTATGTATTGTTTATACAGAAAAAATTTGAATTCATACGGTTATTGACAATATGAAGTAATTTTAAACTATTCTTAATGATAATTTATGTTATTTTTTCCAATATGATGTGATGTGCTCTGCAGATCTCGGCAGATTTTGACGATAACTTAGCCAAGCAGATAGTCATAATAATAATAATATCTTTATTTCGGACTGAAATTAATCCATAGTAGTGTTAGTAACAAATACTAATGTTAGTAAACATTAATATCAACATTAATCGAAGAATTATAATATTCCGCTACTGATTATAAAATGCTGTTATGACTGTCTCTCACCCTTCTTAGCAGATGGTGATTCTCGTGGTGCAAAAATGTAAATTGCCATTAGATTTTTATCACTATTGTAGACCGACCATGTATCATTGTTTCTTAATATTAATATCATCGTGTCTTAGTATAATAAAGCTTAACAGTGGTAGTAGATATTTTAATTCACAACATTGCACAACTTTAATGTAACTGTGGTTTACATTTGGTAATATTATATAATAATACTAAACTATATTGTTTTCAGGAATTTCTCGTTTGTGGGACGTGTTGCGGCCGTGTGCAATTATATTCGAGAATATCACATCAAAAATATCTAATGTATGCTGAATGCAGCAAACGTGTTGCTGATAAGCGGATGCAAAATCCCAGCAAAGACACTACCATAATATTAAATGAGTTATTAGCAGACGAAGTTTGGCTGTCACAGGTAACTATTATTTAGGCCATATTGAAATATAGGTAGGATTATGCTTCAATCATCATCATCATGACTGGCGGTCCACCACTGTGCAATTTAAAAAAGTTTTCTTCTTCGCACAACTTCCTTGTGGAATCGACTACCACCAGAGATTTTGCCGGACCGATACGACTTAGGGATTTTCAAGAAAAAAGCCCATTCCTTTTTAAAAGACCGACAACGCGTCTGCAATTCCCCGGGTGTTGCAGTTGTTCATGGGCGGCGGTAATCACTTAAGTGTCGACTACGATAGACTAGCCTAGCAACTGAGGTATAAGGAGGTTGTCCCTGTGGTCACCAACTGGTCGAGAGTAGTAATTATGATAAATGTCATTAGTTTGAAGAGTCCACTGTCTAGTGGGTTGATGAATACAGTGTGAGTCTTTATAAAGTGCACATATCAAAACCAGGGAAACTGCATATAATTTCAACGACGGAAAAATTATAAAAAAAAATATAAAAAGTTATTTTTTTTAAATGAATATTTTAAAATTAGAAATTGCAGCTGCTAACCCAATTTAAATAAATTATTATAACTTTTAAACTGAATGTACTATCAAAATGGAATAAATTTTTAAATGATTGTTAACAATAAGTTGTGCCAATAAAGTAAAAATTTCTAGTAAAATAAACGTCATAAAATTAGAATAAGGTTTTTATGAAAATCTGGTATTTTCTTCATCTTTTTTACAATAACTTTAAAATTTCTCAAAAAATCGTCCCTTAATCCTACTTTTTTTAAATCTTATGTTATTCTACATCATACTAGCTTTCTAATGGTAATGCACGTTTATTACTCAGATATAACTTTATTAATTAGCATTAAAAAAAAACACATAACTCAGTGAAGCGCCGTAGCAGGCAGAGAGAACTACATTTTTAGGAATAAAACTAGATTTTATCTACGTAAATCATTTATTATTTATTAAAACAAATTGTCAATAGATTTGACAGCATACAGGCAACTGAACAGACAGATCTCCAAATGCATGCGGCGAGACTTACGCAAATTTAATACTGCTCGTATTGAATAAGCGATTGAGCGGAACCAGGGCTCCAAAGTCTTTGCCAGAGATCTGTCTGCCAGTAAGAGCCAACTGTCAAAGCTGAAGACTGAGTGTGGCAGCATCGTTTCCGGGACACCTGAGATTCTGAGTGAGATTGAGAGGTTCTATGGGCAGCAGCCATACCAATAAAGTAAAAATTTTCAAAAAAAGAAACTCCATAAAATTAGTATAAAATATTTGATGGACATCTGGTATTTTCTTCATCTTTTTTACAATAACTTTAAAACTTCTCGAAAAATCGTCACCTTAATCCTACTCTTTTTTAATCTTATGTTATTCTACATCGTATTAGATTTCTAATAGTAAAAAATGCATGTTCATTACTCAAAAGCAACCATTTCTATGAGTGTTTGAAAAAGCCCTTGTGTTTGCGCATCGTTTAGCTACGCACCCGTCATTGTTTATCAGGCAGGTAGAGACCCTTCTTTTTTGGGTGAGTTATGTAGAGGCGAGCGGGCTGTAGGTGCGGGTGCGGGGAGACGTGTCCAGTCGAAGGACAAATGAATGAATCTTAGTCGCTCCGAACTATTCGCCGCTGCTATTCGTGTTTCTCCTGCCAAAGACGTTATCGCTCCACGCGTTCGCTTTTTTGGTCGCGACGCCGCACATTAGTGATTTCTCTCCGGCACACATTGCCGATATCCTTTATTACTATGGAATGTACCGGGGGAGTGCTAGAGCTTATCTAGCTGCGTTTCTAAATCGACGCCCTGTGCCGTCAACCTGAAACTTCCAGGAAGTCCATAGAAGACTGCTAACACTGGACTTGGTTGTGCTCGAGATCGCCGCGACCATGTGTTATTTTTGATGCTGCTATTGAAGAAGCCATTTTGAATGATTTATTTGCTGACCCGACTACTAGTACTAAACGTTTGGCTTTACGTCATGGCGTGTCCCAAAAATCAGTATGGCGCATCTTGAGGAAAGAAGGCTTACATCCTTTCCATTATCAAAGGGTGCAGCACTTACATGAAGATGTGGATTGGCGTCCAAGGTGCGTTATGTCCACATGGATTTTAAGAAAAACAAGGGACAATCTCGAATTCCCTAAAACAATTCTGTGGATGGATGCTCAATTCACGAGAGACAGAATCGTAAACTGTCTTAATTTACATAAGTGGTGTCCAAAAGGTGAAAACCCTAAGCTGAAAAGGGCTTCAACATATCAAGTTAAATTCTCATTAAATGTGTGGGCCGCACTAATTGACTAAATTTTGATTATACTCCCGAGGACCCTAACTGGAGAGATTTCTTGAACTTTAAAGAAATGAATTGCCGTTGCTGTTGGAGTATGTGCTGCTGCTAACTCGTCGAAGAATGATGCTGCAAATAGACGGATGCCCTGCCCATTACTCCCGAATTATTAGGACATTTTTGAATGAAAATTATCCGCGCCGCTGGATCGGCCGACAAGGAACTGTTGGGTGGCCGGCGCGTTCCCCTGATCTGACGTCGCTCGACTATTTTTTATGGGGGACAATGAAACAAAGGGTGTATAACAGTCCCATAAACAGCGAAGCGGAACTCGAAGAAAGAGTTTTGCGTGTTGATAATGAAATTCGAAACGACCCCGAAATGATACGTGCAAACACACAGCAAATTTTGCTTCGCGCCACAATGTGTTTGCAACAATGGGGTCTTCATTTTAAACATTTGCTTCATTAGGCTTTTTGTTTTCAATTTGTTTTCATCATAATCTTCATTTACAAGTCCACTGCTGAACATAGGCCTCCCCCAAGTAATGCCACAAAGCACGGTCCTGAGCCACCTGCATCCATCGACTTCCTGCATGTCTTACCAGGTCGTCACTCCATCTAGTGGGGGGTCGCCCTACACTTCGTCTACCGGTACGAGGCTGCCACTCGAGAACCTTTTTTCCCCAACGGTTGTCGGTTCTTCGAGCTATATAGCCGGCCTGTTGCCACTTCAGCTTACTAATCCGTTGGGCTATGTCGGTCACTCTGGTTCTATTGCGGATATCCTCATTTTTAAGTTTATCACGCAAAGAACTCCGAGCATAGCCCTCTCCATAGCTCGCTGAGCTACTTTGAGCGTCCTCATACGGCCAGCAGTGAAGGACCACGTCTCAGTTCCATATGTCATCACTGGCAACACGCACTGGTTGTACAACTTAGTTTTCAGGTTTTGAGGTATACCTGACGAGAAGATGTGTCGTAATTTTCCGAACGCTGCCCAGCCGAGTTGAATCCGTCGATTGACCTCTCGATCGAAGTTGGACTTACTTAGCCGGACTATTTGTCCCAGGTAAACGTACTCGTCAACAACTTCGAGCTTAGTTCTCCCAACAACTACCGGCATAGGTGTGACATGGACATTAAACATGATATTTGTTTTGTCCATGTTCATCTTAAGACCTATCCGTTGGGAGGCACAATTGAGGTCATTGAGCATAGTGCTTAAGTCCTCCAGCGATTCTACAATAAGGACTATATCGTCGGCAAATCGAAGGTGAGTGATGTACTCGCCATTGATGTTAATACCGTATCCTTTCCAGTCCAGTAACTTGAAAACGTCTTCCAATGCAGCGGTGAAGAGTTTCGGGGAAATAACGTCACCCTGTCTTACACCCCTCTGCAGTTCGATAGGTTTCGTACTCTGGTTCTGTACTCGGATAGCCATCGTAGCCCTACTGTACAAACACTTCAGCATCGGTATATCGAAGTGCTGAAGTGTTTCATACTTATACATATACCGACAGTCAACTTGACACCGCTGAAGAGACTGTAGCACCGCCCGAATTTCGACGGAATCAAAGGCTTTCTCATAGTCCACATACGCTAGGCAAAGTGGCAGATTGTACTCTTCGGACTTCTGTACAATTTGCCGAAGGGTATGTATGTGGTCTATGGTACTAAACCCTTTTCGGAAACCGGCTTATTCGGGAGGCTGGAAGTCGTCGAGTCTGCGTGCGAGACGATTCGTAATTACTCTCGAAAACAGCACGTGGACGCGGCTCAGAAGGGATATCGGTCTGTAGTTCTTCAAGAGAGCGTTGTCACCTTTCTTGAAGAACAAGACCACCGCACTTCTGCTCCACGCCTTCGGAGATGTGCCACCATGGAGGACGTAATTAAAGAGCCTCTGAAGGACTTCAAGTACCGGTTTTCCACCTGCTTTCAGAAGGTCCGCGGTAATTCCATCCTCGCCCGGGGACTTGCCGTTTTTAAGGTGCTGGAAAGCCATTCTAATCTCGCTCAGACTGACGTCCGGGATATCATCGGAATAGTGTCGGATAAGACCCGCTCTTGGATCGTTACTCACACTTGCGTGTGGCTCCAACGATGATGTGTACAGCAGCCCATAGAACCTCTTAATCTCACTCACAATCTCAGGTGTCCCGGAAACGATGCTGCCACACTCAGTCTTCAGCTTTGACAGTTGGCTCTTACTGGCAGACAGATCTCTAGCAAAGACTTTGGAGCCCTGGTTCCGCTCAATCATTCAATACGAGCAGTATTAAATTTGCGTAAGTCTCGCCGCATGCATTTGGAGATCTGTCTGTTCAGTTGCCTGTATGCTGTCAAATCTGTTGACAATTTGTTTTAATAAATAATAAATGATTTACGTAGATAAAATCTAGTTTTATTCCTAAAAATGTAGTTCTCTCTGCCTGCTACGGTGCTTAACTGAGTTATGTGTTTTTTTTAAATGCTAATTAATAAAGTCCTTGTGAAATTTATGTTTGTAAACTGCTCCCACGATACTGGAGAAAATCCTAGTGTGGAGGTAACGTTTTAAAAAAAAGAGTAAGAGAAAAGAGTAACTACCACCGCCCATGAACAACTGCAACACCAGGGGAATTGCAGATGCGTTGCCGGCGGTTTAAAAAAGCGCTGGTTCTTTTTTGAAGGTCCCTAAGTCGCATCGGTTCTGAATAATTGC